GGGGCTCGGCAAACACTGTGTGCACGCGACAGTATAGACCAGGGGCTTGGCAAACACTGTGTGCACGCGACAGTATAGACCAGGGGCTCGGCAAGCACTGTGCGCACACAACGGTGTAGACCAGGGGCTCGGCAAACATCGTGCACACTAACAGTATAGGCCAGGGGCTCAGCAAACACTGTGTGCTCATCAACAGTATAGATCAGGGGCCAGCCCCCAGACAGGGGCCAGAGCATAAATATCTGAGTCTGCAGGCCTCTGTCAGAACTACTCAATTCTTTCTGTGGCTCGAGAGAGGCCATAGACAGCAGGTGAACAAATGGCCCTGCTTGTGTTCCAATAAAACTTTATCTATAAAAAGAAGTAAGGGGCCAGGTGTGGCCCACAGGCTGAAGTTTGTCCAACTCTGCTATGGGTCTCTCTTCTTGATCTGTCCTGAGGGTATTGCAAACCTCAGCCAACATTTCACCATCAAGAGCCAGGTAGCTTTGCAGCTTTTTTACAGGACACTTGACATTTTATTATGTCCACCCCTTGTGTTTGATGTTGAATTGTGAAATAGAAGGGTCTGCCCCACCAGGTCCCTGAGCAAACAGCCAACTCCTTGTTTCCCTCAGAGATGTGGGAATGAGAGGGAAATGTTTTGTGATGTTCTGAAGATCACCATCTTTTAATAATAAGCTATTTTCTTTCTCCCCAAATCTGTCGTTCAAATTGGCTGTCTTATGTTCACAGCCTAAATTCTGGCAAACTTCTAGAGGTTTTTAATGAAGGTGTCTTATATGCCCTGGGACAAGCACGGAGCGCCCTGCTCTCCGGCAGCCTCTACCTGAGGCTGGGGAGGTTTGTGTCAGTCCTTGAAGGGTGGGAAACAGACGCTCCCTGAGCTGCCCCCCCACCCATGTTCACATTCACACCTCAGCCTCTGGGGCTGATCAGGCAAACCTCTGGGTTTATCTTTCTTATTATGTGGCACACGGGCAGGGTTTGCTGGTTCCAAGTGGCCAAGGATTGCAACTGCCAAAATCCCATCTGGGGGTCAAAGTGGGTGCACCACAAACTCCCTCTCCGGCCGCAGCTCCTGGGACATGGCAAAAATCCAGCTTCGTCCTGCCTCAGCCAGGAAGGGGGTGCACCTCCCTAAACAGCATCTTAAGAGTCTGAGTGGGACTCAAGCCTGCAAATAACGACAAAGCATGAACAGCCGCCCATCCCCGTGCATGCCACCTCCTGAGCAGGCACCCAGCGGCCTCGGACCACCCCGTTAGACCCTCTGGACTTTATTCGTCCTCCCAAAGGGAAAGGCGTGGACAGCACCACCTCAGAAGTCCTGCAGGCCTCCCCTGTGGGCCACTGAGACCTGTGTCCAATGGAGCATCCTCTGCCCCCAGCCTGTGTCAGGGTATATGGCCCCTGAGACAGTCCATCCACCCCATGCCTTTACGGCGGCTCCTCTTAGCGTGAGCACGGATGAGTATTTCATTCTCCCTTAAGGAGAAAAAGGCTCTGGGACACATGTCGGTCCGTTTAAGTCCAGACCTTAACCAAGCCCAGACAGCACATCTGGCCAGCTGTGCCAGGCGCACCCCCCAGACTCTGCCACCCCACCTCCCGGCTGTGATTACCAGAGCAACAAGGGTACGGGGTTCTTTGTGCAGTCCTCTGGGGGCGTCTGGCGGGCCATACCCCTCATCTCCTCCTCTGTGTCACTTGGCTCCCAGCTTTAGTTTTTGGCTTTAATTTTTCCCCTGGCAATGGTACCCAATTCAATTGCAAAAGAGGAGACCCCCGCCTTAACTGGCACATGAACCTGCCCTTCTAGGCGTGGCGTCCTCCGTGTCTGTGTGATACGCACCCTCGAAATCACAGTGGCCACCTCACGGGGGGGAGGGCGGTTCAGAGCCCCGCCAAGCCTTTCCCCGGGGGAGTCGGCCTCAAAAGCCCCGTCTCCCGTTCCCAGACCTTTGCGCCCCCCCTTCCTTTAGAACGTGGGCGTCTGCCATCTCCCATGGGTTTCAAACGCCCGCAACCCATGTCAGCCTTGGTGGCCAGCACAGCGAGGGCGAGCCCGCGGCCACGGGGACACGCTGGGGGCCCGGGCCCCCCGGCTCCCAAGCCTCGGCACGCGTCACCCCACGGTGCTCTCTTGTTCCCTCCACCCGCCCTCAGAAGCGCCGGCATATTCCAGAGGAGTCAACAAACAAATGGAGGCAGAGGGTTAAGACCGCCATGGCGGGGGTGAAATTGGTACTTTTCTCTTTCGGGGGCAACGCGAGTCTTGACTGTTTGCAGACGATCAAAGTCCGTTGTGTTTTTTCCTCAACAAACTCTGAGTGTTGTATTATTTTTTTAACATCCACGTCCACGCTTCTTCGCCTTTCTGCCACACCCATGGAGCTGCGACGTGTGCCGAGATGTCACTGCATGGCTTCCGTGGGTCCATGGGGGGAGGGGCGAGGGGGAGGGGAGCTCGTGAGACGTGCTTGTCACGCCTGCCTGTGCGTGCTTCTCAGGATTCCCGCTAACATGCATGCCGCCCGCCCCTGGAATGAGTGGCCTCCGGGGTGCCGCCCTCGTCAGCGTTCTCTGTCCTAATGCATGCATCTCCGCGTTTTAAACTTCCACCCCCATTCATTCTGGAAAGATCGTTGCTACGTGGCAATCGGCGTTTTAACTTGTAACGCTAGTTGCTTGTTTTAGCTTGCCCCGCTCAGGAAAAATAACTATTATGGTCTGGGTGGCAGAGGGCAAAAAGATCTCGGATCTTCCAGCCTTCAGGCGAGGTTTGGGCCGGACGCAGGCGTCCCCCAAGACGCGGGGCTAAAGGTCTGATTTAGGAAAGCGTTTGGCACTGTGATGCCAGGGACGCAGAGGAGTCACGTTTTCAAACACGCGCATTGCTACTGTTCCCTGGCATCATGTGGTAGGTGATGAGACGAGACCCCAGACCCTTCCCTGGATGCTAGATGTGTGCTTTCACTCGTCACCTGCGGGCGTGTTTTCGTAAAGGTGTTTCCGAGTGTTTCTGTTGTCCGAGTGGTGCACGCGCACACCTGCCCGCGCGCACACGGTCTTCTCTCCACCGTGACGGGTCCCGCCAGGTGACCCAACGTTGTTTCATGTTGCAGACGGACAAGGTGAAGCTGACCTGGAGAGACCGGTTCCCAGCCTACTTCACCAACTTGGTCTCCATTGTCTTCATGGTAAGTTCCAGAAGGCTGAGGTGGGACAGATCAGGGCAGCCCAGGGGGAGACGGTGTGCTGCTCATCTAGACCAGAGTCAGGCGTCAACGTGACATTGGCTCTCATCCTAGGCTGTGGGGTAGGAGGAGGTTCCACTAAAATGGGAAGGGGCCCAGGAGTCTGCAGAGACTCCAAGGTCCCTATAAAAATGACTGGCCCCTTGTCCAGCCTGGGAGCTTTAAGTTAGAGTCCTGCATGGCCCCCCAGTCCTGTGGCCTGGTACCCAGGGCCTGGGGTTGGCCACCGTGAACCGGGGCCTTAGCCTGTGTCTCCCTGGGTCCCCACAATCCCGATCCCACCCCCTCCCGCTGATGAGGAGACAGGCCGCAGGTCTGGCCCCTCTCCCCAGGCCACCAGGCCGGACGGAGGTGGTGGGGCCAGGTGCCAGTCAGGCCTCTGCCCCAAGGGCCCCACTGCTCTGTGCGAACTCCACCAGAGGCAGGGGCTTGTCTTGGTTTTCCCTCATGGATGAAGCAGTCACAGCTCTGCCCCCCCTCACTCCCCCCTGCCAGGAGCTTCATTCGCTGAGCAAATACCGGTTGAGCACCCACAATGCTCTCCGCCCATGTTCCTTGTCCTGAGAATGCCAGGGTGAACCCACCAGCCAGACCCCTGCGGCCCTTTTAATCCAGAGGGGGCATTGCCCGCTGGAGGTCTCGCCTGTCATGGGGGGCGCACCCACCCTCTGGCAGGAGGCAGGGGACACCCTCCTTACTGAGTCACCTCGGGGGCCGGCCACCCGTCTGTACCTCCGCATGCTGGCACGAGGCCGCCTCTGAGGCCGGGGTGGTGCCTTCCCCTGGGAGGGGCCCCTTGGCAGGAGCGAGGGAGTTTCCAAGGAAAGCCCTCATTCCCGGAGCTAGCCAGGGAGTGTGGTCAGGGTGTGCCTGGGCTGCCCGAGCTTCCTGAATGGGGTGTGGCCACCGTCGGGCACCCACAGATGCGTGCAGAAGAGGAGGGGCCGGCCCCAAGTCTAAGACAGGAGCTTTCCTAGATTTCTGATGGCTGCAGTCTCCCCCGGGGCTGAGGCAGCCACAGCCTTTCCAAGCCGTGACCTGAGACGCAGCGCAGGCCCACGCTGCAGCAGGAGGGTCCCAGGAGCCGAGAGGGACCATCCTAGCAGGGCAGGGCCTGCTCTCTGCACCCCAAACAGGAGGAAGTGACACAGGTCACACAGAAGGGAATGGAAGGAGCACAGAGCCTGGCCTGTGCTGGAGTCGGGCGTGAGTGACAGCCGGGCACAGCCACCCTCTGTCCTCAGTGCGTCCTGGGGTTGGGGTCTGCCCGCATCCACACCCCAGTGCGGGACCGTGTGAGCACGAGGTCGTCTCCATGAGTTAGGGCCTTTGAGGAAAAGGGGAAGAAACCCAGGCAGACAGACCGCTCTGCACAGAATAAACTCTCCAGCCGAGCCAGAGCCCACCCCAGTCTCCCAGGTAGCCACCAGCCCGAGCTTTATGGAATGTTCTCGTCCACCCGTGGGTTTGGCCAGATGAACGATGAGCCAGGTGTGTGGGTGGCTCGGAGAAGAAACTGGGAGAAGAGGCTCCAACTGTCTGTCCCAGCCAGGCCTGCAGCCCTACCCATGCCCACCCGCCCGTAGAACAGCACTCCTCCCGCTCAGGGCCACCCGTGTTTTGGGGAGAACCCCTCCGCACCAGAGTCAGCCTGACTCGCACAAGCCAAGCCAGTCCCTCGGGTTTCGGCCACTCGGTGCCCTGTTGGAGTCAGGGGGCAGGAGAGAAGGCATGGTGCCCTGCGGCAGGTTATAGCAGAGATCCTGGGCATGTCAGACTCGGTGGACTCACCTGGTCAATCCCAGAGCCTGTCCGTGTCGGAGCCAAATTGCTGCAGGGTGGCAGGGGAGCTGGGCTCAGGGGGTTCTGATCGGACCTGACCGGCCCTCCTCCCTCTGCAGATTGCAGTGACCTTTGCCATCGTCCTGGGAGTCATCATCTATAGGATCTCCACGGCCGCCGCCTTGGCCATGAACTCCTCCCCATCCGTGCGGTCCAACATCCGGGTCACGGTCACAGCCACCGCGGTCATCATCAACCTCGTGGTCATCATCCTGCTGGACGAGGTCTACGGCTGCATAGCCCGCTGGCTCACCAAGATTGGTGAGTGCGCCTCCCCGCTGTGGGGCCTTGAGCTGCTCACTTACCTTCTCTGGGCTTCCTTCCCGTGAGAGCTGAGTACATGGTCACGTGCCTCTCACTCCTTCTAGAGGTTCCAAAGACGGAGAAGAGCTTCGAGGAGAGGCTGATCTTCAAGGCTTTCCTGCTGAAGTTTGTGAATTCCTACACCCCCATCTTTTACGTGGCTTTCTTCAAAGGCAGGTAGGGACCGCGGTTACTGAAACTCACTGCGTTTCCCACCTCGTTCCTCCCGGGGCAGTAGAAGGCTCTCCTCCCCATCTCCCAGCAGCTGGGAGGCCCTGGGCCCAGGGCAGAGTATTCAGAGTGGCTCCCACTAACACTGAGCTCATGGAGGGGCCTGGCTTCTACAGGGGGTCCAGAGCAACGGGGACCCCCTCAGTAGGGTGGGATGGATGAAGGGGATTAGGGCCCCAGGAGTAGGTATAAACGGCACAGCCGTGGCCAGCCTGGTGTTCCAGGCTAGGAGTGGGGTAAACTCCATGCCCGGACCCTCTGAGCCACCCTGGGCTTGGAGGGGCTTGTGGCCCACCCACCAAGACTCCCCATCACCCTTCCTGCCTGGGGCTAGCAGGTCTGATCCCAGAACCCCTCTGAAGGCTGCTTCTTCAGCATCATGTGATTCAGTGGCCATCCTCCCACACCAGGGTTCCAGAGCCCCCCTGAGATCATCCGTGACCACGGAGCAGGCCCTCAGAGGTCTCCACCCCTCCCCAGCCTGACGAGGCCATGGCAGGTGGCGCGGTCTGCGCTGGGCAGCTTTGCCTCCGTCCCCACGCCCGCCGCCGCCACCCCGGCCCCCTTCCCTCTTGGCTTCCTGCTGAGGTCCCATCTTGTCACGCGTCCGTGGGTCTGGGAGCCCCCGGAACACACGCCCACAGCACACCACAGTGGTCGTGTCTCAGGCGCTGGAAGCCTGGGGGCGCGCAGAGCTGACTGCAGCCCCCACGTCGGGGTCTCCCCGCGCTGCCCCTCCCCTCCCACTGCCCCCTGCTCGTTGCAGGTTCGTCGGACGCCCGGGCGACTACGTGTACATTTTCCGTTCTTTCCGGATGGAAGAGGTGAGCGCGTGCTCCCGTCCTGCTTTCCTAGGTCCGGGCGCACAGCAGACTTGGGAGAAGCAGATGTCGCGGACTAGCGTCTCCCTCCTCGGTGGGGCGACCCTCTGCTGCTGACCCGCTGCTGGGGCGGGGCTCTGATCTTACTTGGTGCGTCCATATAGCGTTACCCTGAAAGGAGAAAGTCTCTTCAGACTCACCAAAACAAAAGACTGACCCGTTTGATTTTTTGTTTGTTTGTTTTCTATAAGATCTTAAGTGTTGTTTTTTTTTTTTTCGTTAAGATGGATTAACGAGGACAAGACAAAACTCCGCTTCATTCTTTTATTATAACAGGGGAATGCCCACCTCTCTCCCCCTAAATCAGTGCTGGTGACCTTTGACTTCTGCTCAGCCTCTGCGGCCCCTGTGGGTCTGGTTAGTGCATCGGCCACTGGACTTGCTCCAACGGCCCCGCCAGACCAAGCCGGGGCTTCGGGGCCGCCAGGGCGTCAGGTCTCAGGGGAACTGGTCAGCATTGGCAACACCCAGAGTCATGCGGCTTACTGGAAAATAAGGGGTGGGTCTTCTGATAAAGATCCTGTGAAATGGGGTAGAGAGGATTGGGGTGGGCTTCAGGTACAGGGTGATCTGGCTGCCCAGGGCACAGCCAAGAGGTTCAAGCCCCTGAGGGCTGGACCCTGAACATCCCAAGACATGAGCCTCACCCACAGGAACAGATGTTTGCAAGAAGCCATGAAGTGCTCTCCCGTTTAGGTGATCTTGGCCTTTCTGTAAACAATACTATGTCAGATTCTTTAATGATTGGAGAGAATGGGGAAATGCCTCTGTAAAATAGAATGAAGCAGAGGACGTCATTTTTTTTTTTTTTAACGAAACGGAGGCTTTCCAACATGAAATTTGTGGGTAACAGTATAAAAAGTTTTTTTCTGGTCCTGTAGAGGGGTCAGCTGTCCCCAGAGGGACACCCAGTGTCCCTTGATCTCCAGTCACTCGGTCAAGTTGAGCCTCTGGCCCGTCCCTTGCCTGCCCACACCCAGCCTCAGGCAGGGGGTGCAAGCCCACCAAGGACAGGGACGTTAAGCCTCAGAGGCATGGCCAGCCACCTCACCATGTGGCTTTCCAACTGCACGGGCCCAGGCTGTCACGGCCATACAGGGCCCGTGGATAGGCAGCAGTGCGTGGGACTGGGCAGCGGCCCTGGGGGAGAAGGAGGAGCCCCTAGATCCAGCCCCACCACTGCCCACTCCCTGGCAAAGCACTCCTCTCTCTGAGCCTCGTTCCAGCCCTGACAGCCTGCAGGCAAGGTGCAGTAGCTTCCTGGGACCGCTGTAACAAAACACCCCAGAGCAGGTGGCCTGCAGCAACAGAAACATTCTCTTACGGTTCTGGGGGCCGGAAGTCCAAAATCAAGGAGCCAGCAGGGCTGCACTCCCTTCGAAGGCTCAGGGGAGGTTCCTCGGGCCTCGCTCCTGGCTTCTGGGGGCTGCCGGCACCCTTGGTGGGCCTTGCTTCTGGCCGGGGCCCTCCAATCTCCGCCTCTGTCTTTGCACGATCTTCTCTTCTCTGTGTCTGTTTCCTCTTCCTATGAGGACCCCAGGCCCGGCCTCAGGGTCCACCCTGCTCCAGTATGACCTCGTCTTAACTGGGTCACATCTGCAAAGACCCTTTTCCAACTAAGGCCATATTCTGTGGTTCTGGGGGTTAGGATGGAGACATGTCTTTGTAGAGGCCACATTCGACCCGCAGCACCAGGGCTGACCTCCCGTCGCTGGGAGCTGTGGTCATCTCTCCAGGTGTCCACCATGGGCCAGGGCCGGGGTCTGATGCACCTGCTGTCTGTCCCACAGTGTGCCCCGGGGGGCTGCCTGATGGAGCTCTGTATCCAGCTCAGCATCATCATGCTGGGCAAGCAGCTCATCCAGAACAACCTGTTTGAGATTGGCATCCCGTGAGTAACGTCTGGCCTCGGGTCGCAGCGGAGCAAGGGGGAGATGGGGCCCCGGGGTGCCCTGAGGGCTCTTGTGGTGGTCTGGGGGACAGGTGAGGTGGGACCTGGGCCAGGACGGGGCACCAGGAGCGGGGAGGGGGTGGGAACAGAAGGGGAAGGCAGGGTATAGCCACCCCATGGTGCACGAGGAGAGGATGGGGGCCCAGATGACCCCCTGCTCTGCGGCAGGCTGAGGATGCGGGCTCCTGACAGGCACCCTGAGACACGCATGGCAGCCCCCTGTGGTTGGCAGATGGAGCACCTAGAGGCTCCGCTTCTTGACCTTGTGCGCTCTGAGAATCATGTCCCGATCCCCCTCCAGGGCAGCCAGCCCACTGGCATGATCCCCACCCCGCCCCAAACCACTACGTCTGCTTGGGCCTAGCTGACCCCTGACCCTGTTGGCCCTCCCCGCACCCATTTCCTTATGTCAAAAACCAAATGATGACACTTGACCCCTGCCTCCTGGGGGGAGAGCACAGGAGATCAGCAACAGAGAAGTCCAGCTCAGAGAATTAGAAACACAACTTGGAGGCGAGGGGCCCTAGCGCCCATCTTCCCGGACCCCCAACTGAAGTGACGTCATGTTTCCCTCAGGAAAATGAAGAAGTTCATCCGCTATCTGAGGCTGAGGCGCCAGAGTCCCTCTGACCACGATGAGTACGTGAAGAGGAAACAGCGCTATGAGGTGGACTACACGCTGGAGCCCTTCGCGGGCCTCACCCCAGAGTACATGGAGATGAGTGAGTGGCGGCCGGAGGGGTCCCATCCTCGGGGCGGGGCCGGCTGCAGCCCCTTGCACAGAGCAGGCGCTCAGGAGGTACCCAGGGATGGAGCCTTGGCACCAGCAACTGTGTCGCTGGACAGGAGGATGCCCAGAGGTGGCCCATAACTCTCAGGGGGGTACCCCAGAGAGGACGGAGATAGGGCAGGTGCAGCCCACACGGCCACCTGGAACCCCCCACCCCTGCCTCCTCCCTCTCCTCACCTCCTGCAGCCATTCCAGCCACACTGGCCTCCTTGCTGTTACCCAGACTCCCAGAGCTCGTGTCTGCCACAGGGCCTTTGCACTAGCTATGCCCCTAATCCTCTGGAATCCTCTCCCCCTAATACCTGCATGACTCACTCTCTCCCTTTCTCCAGGGTTGTGCTCAGGATGTCCTCCTCCAGAGGGGTCTTCCTGACCACAGTGTTTAAAAGGGGCAGCCCCTCCCCTGCACCACTGTGACCCTCTGCCTCTCCCCCTGCTCTGATTCTCGTCACCAGCCTGAAATATACCTTTACCTCTACCTCCCAGCAGAATGGAAGTTCTGTGAAAATAGGACCTTTTTTCCCCTTCACTGCCATACCCCTACACCTAGAACAGATCCAGGTATATCGTTGGCGCTTGGTACATGTTGGCTGAGTGAACAGATGAGCAAGGGGGGCCAAGAAGACCCCTGCAGAGGGGTCCCAAAGCATAGGGCCCCCGGCCACCATGGACAGCACATTTTAAATGCTGGCTCTGGGGCCCACCCCCGATCTCTGCAGGGTGGGACTTGGGACCTTGTACTTTTAACAAATACTTGAGCAAACCCAAGGCCGCCTCTGAGTGTCGAGGGGCAGGGTGGCCCCATGAGCACTTCCCTCCTGCTGGCCCAGTGGGTCCGTAGAGGTCACACCCAGCGTCCCAGATGATTGTTCAAGAAGCACCTTGCCGTTGACTCAGAAGGAAAAGAATCTTAAGACTTTGAAAAATGGAAATAGCATTGTGTTCAGATGACATTGTCTGTTTTCTCCTGGAACGAAATCCAAGGTGAACCAGAGGCGGACAGGCAGCTCCCTCACCCCTGCGGACCCCCGTGGACCCCCGTGGGCCTGCTGCCTCCCTGGCTGTCTGGTCTCAGCCCTGGGGCCCAGGAGGAAGGCCACCGCTGCCTGCCTGAGGCCAGTAGGAGGGCAGACACAGAAGAGCAGCCTGGGATTGGCTGGCAGACAGAGGCCCCCCCCCCAGATTTTAATTTCTACAGTGGCTGTAGGTCGCATCCCGCTTTCCTGTTGGGCGTGGTGAGACTCCTGGGCCAGGCCCCTGCCCACCCAGGGAGCAGCCCACCCTGTGACCCAGCCCTACCCCGCCGCTCAGGACGCTCTCCTCGAGGACCGACTCTGCCGGGTGCCTGGAGCACACAGTGCCTGGGACTGACGAGAAGCGCAGCCGGGAGTGCCCCGGGCCCGGGCCATCTCCAGCTCCCCTCTCTGCTTCTCGGCCTGTCCGCACAACAGGAGGCAGCATCACTCGGGAGTGAGGACCCCACAGCCTCAGGCTCAGCGGCCCACGTGGAGCCCACAGCCAAGCTTATCCGAAGCCTCCATCCCCGCCAGAGCCGCCTGCAGACGCGACCGTGTCCACAGAAGCATCCCACAGAGGCCGACGGGGCGAGCGAGAAACCAGCAGCCGGGCTCCCAGACGGAGGCTCCCACGGAGCCCCCCACCAGCGGCTCTAACAATGGCCTCACTCAGCCCGCCAGGCACACAGTGACATTCCGCCGGCTTCCTTGTTTACCACCTGGCAGGCAGCGAGAGCCCTGGGACAGACTGTACGGTTCCTGAACCGGCCTCCCCCATGCTGCTCAGCAACCTTTACCTGACCTCTCCCGGGAGCCCGGCTCTGTGCTGGCCGCAGCATCCAAGGTCCAAGCCCCAGGGCCGGCCTGGTGACCATGAGGATGGTCCAAGAGGGGACACTGAGGGGGGCCAGATTGTCCTGGACGGTGGGCCCCGCCCAGCTCCTTCCCTGAGGTCCGACGGACACGCAGCAATACTGGCAGGCCCCCCAGGTCCCAGGAGCCCCCCCACAGCTGCTTGAGACCCTTGCCAGCCCTGCATGGGGTGACCGAGGCTGGACCTTCATGCTCACGGGGGGCCTTTTCCCCATCACTGATGATTAAGATTAGAAGTATGATAAGTGACTGCATGCTCGTTATTCAGGAGTCAACAGTGGGGTCCCGAGCGAAATTTGGAGCGCTCCCCACAACCCCCTCCTGGCCCAGGGTCACCTGGGGTCATGGTGGGTGCATCCCAGGGTCCCTTTTATGCAGGTACAGGGGTGCATCAGAGGCAGGGAGCCAGCCAGACCCCGCCCACCCGTGTGCTCAGCTTGTGGCACGTGGGGACCCGCCGTGGCACTTCCGGCGTGCTGACCGCCCTACTCCCCTTGCAGTCATCCAGTTTGGCTTTGTCACCTTGTTCGTCGCGTCCTTCCCCCTGGCCCCACTGTTCGCGCTGCTGAATAACATCATCGAGATCCGCCTGGATGCCAAAAAGTTCGTCACCGAGCTCCGAAGGCCAGTGGCTGTCAGAGCCAAAGACATCGGTGAGTGACTCTGGGGAGCTGGTTCTGGGCACGTGCTGGGTTTGGGGGAGGTTTGGGTCCCGCTCCCCAGGAGCTCGATCCAGAGCCGGCAGATTGGGGTCAGGCACGGGGTCCCCATGGGCTCCTGGACGGAGACTTGGGGGCTCGGCGTGGGGTTGGGAGACCTAGAGGCTCCTTTGCACCCTGACGCCAAACCCTCCACTCCTGAGAGAACATTCCGGAAAGTGTCAGTGCCTCGGGTGTCTGAACCTCTCGTCAACCAGCCGCACTAGGAGGTCCCCGAGGTGCGTGCGCTGAGGTCCTCGGCACCCCGCCCTCCTGTCCACGTGGCCCCAGAGCACAGACAGAGCTGATGGGTGGGAAGCTCGTGTTAGGGGCTGAGTGGGTGCCTTTCCATGCAGTGTATCATGTAGTCATTCGACGTCCACAGATAGGAAAGGGGGGAGGAAGGAGCCCTCTCAGCGGCTCAGGAAGAGCTCTGTGTGGCTTGCCCGGAGGGTCAGGGCTGAGAGGGTTCGAACCCCCTGCCAGCGAGGGCTTCCTCATCACTGTGTGGGGGAGGCAGGGGTGGAGGGATGGGGCACTTACTGGGAGCGCGACACCTAACCCTCTGGTAGAGGTATCACCAACGGGGAAGATCATCTCAAAGCGAGTCAACCTCATTCATCCGGGACCCAGTTTTCAAGGTGAACGCAAAAAAGTTTATATTTAATCTTGAAATGAGATGGAAAATGCAAAACGACATTGATTTGAAGTCCTGTTTGACACGATTTTCACTGGAACGGCCCATCTGCACTGGTCAGGGGAAGACACAAAGATTGATGTGTTAGGGGCGTTGTTTGTCATTTTCCCCGAGATGAAGACAGGATGCCAGGGTGATAGGGTGTCAGCAAGGCAGACGTCATCTTGGTGAAAGGGGGCCACTTCTCCAGCCCTTTGCCCTGGCTCGGCCTCGTCAGAAACGCCCTCGGCCGTCCCATGCCGCCTGTGTTCGTGGGGCTCCCCGGTCCGTGGCCGCCCTGGCCCCCGGTGGCACCGGGTTGAACCCTCCAGAAGTGCCATTCGCACCCTCACGCGTGGCCACGTGTCACACGTGTCGGTGATTCTGTCCGGTTTACCGCAGTCCCCGTTTGCGCCGTGGCATCCGTGGAGACTCCTTCGGGGCCTGGCTTTGGGACGGGCTGGGGAAACTTGGTGCTCCATAGGGAGGGGTGCCAGCCAGAGCCGGGGCTCAGATATAGAGGTGTGTCTGTCACCGTCCGTCTATCACCCATCTGGACTGGGTGACCCAGACAGTCGGCAAACTCTGCAAACAGACGCCCTCCCGGCTGGACTTCCCTGGAAGATTTTGCTTGTGATTTTAAGAGGTTTTTGTTTTTTTTTTTTAAAGATTTTATTTATTTATTTGAGAGAGAGAGAGAATGAGAGATAGAGAGCACGAGAGGGAAGAGGGTCAGAGGGAGAGGCAGACTCCCCGCCGAGCAGGGAGCCCAATGCGGGACTCGATCCCGGGACTCCAGGATCATGACCTGAGCCGAAGGCAGTCGCCCAACCAACTGAGCCACCCAGGCGCCCGATTTTAAGAGGTTTTTAAAACCCCTGATCTAACTGGCCCTCTGAAGTCCCTTCTGGCTCTCAGGAGCCTGATTCTGCCTCAGCCCTGGCTGTGGGGCGAGCCCCTTGCCCCGCACGCCACACCCCTGGGTTTGCTGCTTCTCCGGGTCTGAGCTAAGCTTGGGGATTCCATGGTCTCTGTGGGCCGCGAGGGCATCCTTCTCACCCAAGGCTAAGGGCGCTGAATTTGGGCCCCAGGCCGCATTCACAAGCCCCCTCTCCAGGTGAAGGTGACATTGCCCCCAGGGTTCCCGTGAGCTCGTCATGCCCTGCTCTGAGAGTGAACCCCAGAGGGCTGTGCGTGGCCTTGATCGCTTCCTGGGCCTTTCGGCATCGGGTCCTCCAAGGAACCTCTAGAGGCTTGGGCAAATCTTCCGTCCCATTTTCCCGATGGGGAGACCAAGGCCAGGTGGTTACCAACGCTGAGCTGGAACCGGAGACCCCACGCCCCCAGCCCTCCACCCCCGGGGACCACCCGTTCCTGCAGCGCCTCCACAGCAGACGGTCTGCCCGGAGAAGCTTACGTTGCACACCCGAGGCCTGAAAGGACAGGGGTGGACGGGGCGGCTGGCCAAGGCGCTGCCTGGACAGCCCTTGGGGATTCTGGAGCCCTGTGCCCAGTGAGAGTGTGGCCTCCCAGTTGTCACTTTGCCCTGACAAAGACCTGATTCTCAGGCGCCCAGAGGGCCCCGGGCGAGTCTGCGGTGGGTGTCTGCTTTGGCATCCTTGGCTTAGCAGAGCCCGCTTCCCCTGCAGCCTCGTCCTCAAACCTGCAAACCTCCCGGGCCTCCGTGCCTGTCGCGGGCGTGGTCCTTCCCACCACCGCCTCTCGCCTGCGGCTCCCCTTCTTTCCCTGTTCTTATGGGTCGGCTGCTCACTTCCTGGTTCCTGTCTGGTTGGTTGGAGGCATAATCTGCTCTTCTTTGACTGTAACCTTTCTCTGAACAGGCCTTTGTATTCCTCCTGTGATCCGTGTGGGCCCCGAGGGGACGCCAGGCCCCGGGGGCCCCCACAACCCGCACCCAGGGCGCCAGGGGTGGCTGGGGGAGGCTCCGGCTGGGAGGGGAGGCGTGGTGAGGCTCCGCTCCCTGCCAGTGGGAACCCGGCCCCACCTTCCCAGCCCTGACCTTTGACGGCTGTTTCACAAGCTTCCTGCGCTCACACTTGCTCTCCTGAGCCTCCCTCCCGCGTGAGCAGCCTCTGCCTGCGGTCGGCTCCTGCACATGGGCAGGCAAGACGAAATGCTTCCCTGTCTCATTCTTGGAAATGGGGTCTGGTGTCCCCCGGGGACAGCAGAGGCACCTGGAAGAGGAAGACAGCTCCCTCCCCCCCCTTGGAGATTCGCACACAGGCACCCTGAAGGGTTTCCTCTTGTACCTGGAGACCATCGGAGCATGGTATGCTCTGCAGCGTGCATCCTAATAATGCAGACGGGGTTGGGGGGTGTGTGTCAAGACTCCCAGAGAGGCTGAGCCCGAGGGCCGGGGCTGGCGTCCTGGTTTGGCATTTTTTGAACAAGACCCCAGGATTCTTGTGTGGGGGTCCCACGGGGGATCTCGGGGCTGGACATAGAAACGCCCCAGGGCCTGTGCCGTAGGCTCTGTCCTGGGCTCCGGGAAGCTCTCCAGCTCATCCCACAGCCCGGCCTCGTCTTTCCCACTTCCCAGGCTCCCCTCCCTCCACCCATCGGCCTGTCAGCGGGGCAGTGGGTCGAAGACCCATTTCCTTCCCTCATGCTGCGCTCAGGTGGCGCCGCCTCCCCCAGGAGCCCTCTGCCCGGGCTCACCCAAGCCCCTGCGCCCTATCCCGGAGGTCTCAAACCCAGACCCGGCAGGGCCTGGCGGCACCCCCCCGCCCCCCGGGCAGAGAACAGAGCCACAGTGCACGGCCTGGCCTGGAGGGGGCGCCACGGTAGCCGTGGAGCCAAGCCAGCCCCATTTGGGAGCCAGGCTCTTTCAGAAAAGGCAAGTCCAGACTCTTAGAAACACATCATCCTGATTTGTAAACACCAGTCAGCGTCTGAGCCTGCGGCCTCCACTCTCGGGCCTCACGGGCCTGTGCTCCTGCTGTCTGCAGATGGGGGCCCAGGTGGCCCCCCAGCGCTCACGGCTAGGGCAGAAATGCCCACATGTAGCTTCCCCGGCCGAGGCACGAGCAGCGGTCTCCGCCCCGGACAGAGGAACCCCACCCTGCCACACTCTTCCATAACGACGAATACCGGATGCCCTCCCACCCTTTCTGGGAAGTGCTGGTTATGCCCATCTCAGCTGGGTCGGGGGCAGGGAGAGACCACCCGGGACAGGGCTCTGAGGCCAGCAGTGTCCGTGACACGTGCCTGGCCTGATAGGGCCCAGCTGAGCCGGAGGAGGGGGTCAGGCAGGGGCCCTAACACGCCTGGCCTGCTCTGGGCCCTCAGATAAGGCACTCCCTCCCCGGGCCCTGCTGGCCTCATTCTGCTGGGGAGGCCAGGGGAGGACCGCCCATTTGTCTGGCTGCTGTGTGGTGAGACCCCTGCTCACCGGGAATTGGGTGCAGTGCTGGACCCCGGGGTGGCAGAAACGGGGGGCACCCAGACAGGAAGTGTTCTGCACCTCACTGATGTCAAGTTGTTATGCTCAGGTCGTGACCCCAGCATCCCCCACCCGGGGCCCTGGCATTGCTCTTTGACCCTGACGTACGTTTAGGGGCCTGTCCCTAAATTCTTCTAGCACCGGAGGGACGTGGCAGGTCCAGGACACGGAAACCTCATGGGCTTGGTCTCCACTTACTCTTACGTGGACCCTTCTGGGCAGGAACCGCATCCAAATTGAATGTTTGTCCCTCTGGAAGGAAAGGTTTCAGGTTCACAGGAGAGGGCGCAGAACCACTCAGGGAGCAGTTGATTTGAAGCACCCCTTTTAGAAGCCACAGTTTGCCTCCAGACTCAGCTGCTGAGCCGGGACCAGCCGAGGCTCTGTCATCAGCCACGATCCCCCCCGAACTCCAGAACCTCTGCTTATTCCCACACATCTGACCACCAGGGAAGGGGCCTGCTCGCCTGCTAGCTGGGGTTCCTGACGGCCTGGTGCCAAGCCATCCTGAAACTGCTTCTCTCCCCGCCCCTCCAGGAATCTGGTACAATATTCTCAGAGGCGTTGGGAAGCTGGCCGTCATCATCAATGTAAGTGACGTCGGGGGCCTCTGCTGGACAGAAGTGCCCGTTGGGCTGCCACGGGGCTGGGCGCCCCTTCCAGGGAAGCCAGGTGGGGTCTCTGTCTCCAGCTTCCGTGCTGCCCCAGGCTGGCGAAAGCATCTCCTGTTCAGACATGTCCCTTGGTCATACTGAGGCATTGGGACGAGCTGTGGGTGGGAAGGACAAATTCTCCTCAACCTTTTTCTATAACCTTGAGCTAAATTCTCCAGCACGCCCACCCTGGCCCCTAAGTCCACTCCCTCCCCCAGAATCCTGAGAATATACAGAGGGAGAGAGGGAGAGGCAAAGACAGGGAAAGAGACAGAAACTCCTCCCTAGCCATCAGTCTGCTCTTATTTTTAAAAGTTAGTCTCGTCCCTTTATGTGAAATACATGCCTATTCTTTAAAAGTTCAGGAAATGCAGAAACACGGAGACGAGGGGGAGAAGCCTGCCAGCCCCCTCCGACACACACACACACGTAGCTTGCTGAGGCCTCTGCTCCCCCACCAGCCTCCTGCCCGGGCAGCCCTCCTCCCTGGCACCTCGTGCACACCCTCCTGCCACATGGTGCCATCCTCCTGGCCTCTCCTACCCCTGGGCCTGCAGGTTAGGGGGGCGGTGGCGCCTCTGTCATGAGAACCAGCCCTCTGCCTTCCCTGCGGCCGCCCATCCAGGTCCACGTGACTCTTACGGGGCCTCCGTCGCCCTGGGCTTAGCGGTCTAGCGGTCCCTAGCACATGCTTCAAAGCCAAGGCTGAACCCCAGCCATGCGAGGGAACATCAGACAGCCTCGGAGGTCCGCAGTGCCACCGCCCTGTGACCCCCACCCCTCCACCTGCAGGCTGAGCCTGAGCCCCCGGAAGCTGACCCCTTGCATGCAGGCGGCTGATCCCAGGAGCAGACACAGCCTGGGGCCTGCACGCCCGCGATGCTGGGTCTGGGGACTGAGCCCCCACAGCACAGGAGGTGAAGCTCAGCCCCAAAGAAGAGACTTCTCGGGGCCCTGAGACACTGCCTTTCCTGCTGGGGGCAGCCTCCCTGCCCAGTCCAGGCTCGGAAACCCCTGTTAAAGGACTGCGGTGGGCAGAGCGTGCATCCCGCAGCAACAGCTCCTCATCCTGACCTGGGCAGGCGGGCGCAGGGCCCAAGGCGGGAGGGCACGTTTTGATCGGGGGTCAGTGCTGGGGACGGGGTGCAGCCGTCTGGAGCACAGGGGTGCTGTCAGCAGCTGGCAACCAGCGAGACCTCTCATGGGAACAACCAAAAACAGCTAGCATTTATCGAGCCTCTAGAATAATCCAGGCCCCTCTACGCTCTTCGCATGCATCCACCCACTCGTGCACACACAGCCTTCAGGGAAGGGACTGTCATTGCCCGTCGTACAGGTGCAGCACAGAGAGGCCAGGCAACTTACCCAACACCACACAGCCAGAAAGCGGCAGGGCTGGACCTTACCCCGGTCTGCCAGGCTCCAGGTCCCTGCTCTGGTATTGGCACCACACCAGCTGTCCTCAGAGACGGCTCTGGAATAGGATGAGCTGAGTCAGAATATCGTCTTTCCACTCCCACGTTCCCTCTCAAGTATGCCAGGAAGGTGAAGCACGCAGAGCACAGAGCGGTTAGGTGACTTGCCCAAGGCCACACAGCCAGGGAGAGGCAGCATTTGTCCCCAGGCCTTCCTGCTCAGGGGTGACCTGTTCCCTGCGCCCAGGCCCTCCCAACGTTCTGGTCGCCTGCCGACTCGTGGGCAGAGTGTCACGTGACCAGACCCCAGGGCCAGGGCCACCCTGGCTCCCTTAGGGCGTGGCCCCACCCACGCCCACCCGGGAGTCTGCACTCACCGCCCTGTCCCCTGGCCCAGGCGTTCGTCATCTCCTTCACGTCCGACTTCATCCCTCGCCTGGTATACCTCTACATGTACAGCGAGAACGGGACCATGCACGGCTTTGTCAACCATACCCTCTCCTCCTTCAACGTCAGCGACTTCCAGAACGGCACCGCCCCCAACGACCCCCTGGACCTGGGTTACGAGGTGCAGATCTGCAGGTATGGCTCTCGACGTCCCTTTCTGAAAGACACGTGTGGGTTTCTGGGAAAACCCCTCTTCCAGCAAGGATTCTTTCAGGGGCAAGTCACAGAATAGCTCAAGCTTGCTTCAAGGAAAAAAAAAAAGTCAGGGTCTCAGTAGGAAGTGACTTATTAGTTCCTTTCATTAAGAAGGCCAGGATAGCTTCAGGCATGGCTGGATCTAGGAGCTACAGTTTGCCCTCAGGCCCCTTCTGGCACTGCTTCCCAGCTTTGCATTCCTCCATGGTGGCACTGTGTTCTGGCGGGCAGTGAAGACGCCCTGTCTGCTTAGCTATCCCAGTGACAGAGTGTCTTCCTCAATATCAGGGTTTAATCTCACTGGTCTGTCGTGGACCACGTGCCCATCCCTAAATGAAACCCTGTTGGCGGGGGTAGAGGCTAGAGCTGGGGCGTGTGCCCGGATGTGGGGTCATGATCAGAGAGTGAAGAGGTCCTCAGGAAAACGGGAGTGCTCTGACTCGGGGAAGGGGTACTGGATGCTGGGCAGGCCAGCTGAGATGACCAGACCTGTGGGGCCCCAGCTGCTGGCCAGACACTTGGGGTGTGCAAGGAGCACCCCAGGAAAGATGGAGGCGGGGCTGGGCGTGGGAGGCAGAGCTGGGCCTTTCCCTGGGCCCCTTCCACTTGCGCCAGCCTGGGTTAGGGTCTGGGGACCCGGGACTGGCATTGTCCCTGCTATCCAGGGACCTCGGTGGAGATCGGTGTTAAGGGGGGATCGTAGTTGGAAACCCGGGTGAAGGGTGGACGCAGTGGGGTCACTCCAGGGGGCAGGACAACGTGGGCAAAAGCACGGAGGTGGGAAGCAGTGTGCAGTACTCCAACGGAGCTGAGATTCAGGACACAAGAGCTCAGGGGCCAAAGTTCACGTCCCAGAGCCCGCACGGTAAAGCTCGATCCCTCCTGCCCAGGGAGGCCTGCTGGCTCCTCCTTGACACGGAGTTCCCTGAGGCTGGCTGGTATGTGTCTGTCACCTTGACTGAAGGAAGGGGAGTGGGGCACCTGCTAGGGTCCAGGGTACCGACCAACAAAAAGTAACTTGCAGCGACGAGAGAGGCCCAAGAAATGGGAAAACGCTCCCCCCTCCCCCCGGAGCCGCTGGAAAAGGGAAGCAGGCGCCCCCGGCTCGGGTGGCTCCTGACCGCAGCGCAGACAGCAGGCGTCCCCACTGGCCCTGAGTGACTCCGGCACAGGCACACGGTGTTCTCTTCCGCATCAGGGCGGGGACGGCACCTGCTCGGGACCCAGGAACGATTAGAGCCGCGTCTGCCAGCTAGACAGGGCGCTAACACCGCAAGGCCTGCACCCCAGCCCGGGTCCAGCTTTCCGGATCCCACCCACATGCACATAATGGGACCGAAAATCACAGGGGAGGCCCGGAATGGTCCGCTCCCAGCTTCGGCGTGGCCACCTCGGAGAGGGGATGGCCTGGGGAGCCAGAAGTGCAGGGGAGGGGGCTCCACACAACCACCCCCATCCCTCAGCAGACGCACGCTCCAGGCTGGTGCAGACAGGCAGCCCCCCACCCCCAGGTTTCCGCCCAGGACCCCCACACCTCCCGCGGCACCAACACTTTCCCTGCATCATCTCGACGCTCCACGCTAAGCGCACAAGCTTGACCTACTTTGCTAAAGGTCCTCTTTAGAGAAAGAATAATTACAAGCAAAGAAGGCAAGAGATGTGTGGTCATCTTATTAGGAATTCCTCTGCATTGGTATTTACAGGGTTAGCCTCGGCTTCTGAGAACCGGACACTGGGTCCCAGACATTAGCTAAGGAAGCAGCTCCGTCCCATGCATCAGCCCAGGGTCCTGGCCACGTGGGGGAGAGGCCAGGCTGACAGAGCCGAGACCCATTTATAAGTGTCCCGTAGCTTTTACCCCCACAGAGTCAGAAGACCATGGATCCGACCACTCTGCTCCCTGGGATTCGGGCTCCAGCCAGGCCCTCCCCCGGCCGTTGGCCAAGATCCAGCAGCGCAGGTCTGGGAGCTCCAGGCCCTCAGCAGCTGCGCCCGCGCAAGCTGCCTCTCATAGGAATCGGTGGCAGGAGGCACGGCACCCAGCCCCGCCTGGGGAGGTGGGTGTGGGGAGACCCAGAGCACACTCAGAGCTTCAGTCGCTGCCGGCTACCACTTATGTCTGCACTGAACCAGGTGCTCTCTCATCTGAGCCCCAGAGCCACCCCCAGAGGGGGCATTATGATCCTCCCCAGGGGCGCGGGCAGGCTGGGTACCAGAGCTAAGCAAGGAAAACATAAGATCGTCTCTGATCGAGGTCAGTGCCGATGGTGGGAGCTGGCCCCTGGACAGGTCTAAGTGGGCTTTGAGGGATGCCTAGGAGTTTGCCAGGTGACCCCCCCCCCACCCCAGTGCAGCAGGCCATGAGCACAGAGAGCAAAGGGAGGAGCGAGCGTGCGTGGCCTCTGACGCTGGGAGAAGAGGGGCTGCCTGTTCCCATCAGAGAGCAGGTTGTACAAGACTTGTGTCACTCTGCAGCTGGTGCCCAGATAGGATCGTTCCCAGGGAGGCCGATCCTATCTCTGGTCTGGCAGCTTAGCACCCCGCAGCTCCTCGGAGGCTCCCATCCAGCTCCCTCTAGGAGTAAAGCTCTGTGGGTGAGGGGCCCTGTCTGCTGCGTGTTCCTGAATGTCCACCCCTGAAATGAGAGCTGGAATGTAGTAGCTGCTCACTAAATGCTTCTCATGTGACTGAGAGGGTGCCAGACCGAGGCCCAGAGGGACCAAGCCACTGCACGAGAACACACAGCAAGGTGGTCACTGGTTCTGGGGCCAGGCCAGGGCTGTGCCGCCAGAGCCAGGTGCCTCCTCTTCTGGTCCCCCGCCCCCACCACCGGACCTCAGCGGCCAGCAGGGGTGCACCTACCACCCCAAGCCCAGAAACTGCCCCCACTTCAAAGCTTATTCTGACAGCTTTGGGGAAGCTTTTCCCACACGTCGCCCAGGATCAGCCCCATTAAAGCCAACAGCATCCCCGGAATTTGGGGCAGAGTCGGAGGGCCTGGGTAGAGACAGGACCCCGGGTCGTCATCCTCACCCCGCTCCCACAGACTAGGCATCTCAGGACCTCTGGAAAGGAGGGGACGGGGCGCTCTGGGTGGGGGGACACTGTGTGCTGGCAGGGCAGTGGACAGGAAAGCAAGGAAGATCACCTTCCGTAGAACGAGGGCCGGTGAGGGGGGTCTGCGGGGAGGGTGTCTGCCCCGGGAGGAAGGCAGCGGGCAGCGTCTACGCTGATACATCAGGGGAACGGGCGGACGGGTGTCGCGTGTGGATGAGGCGGGAAAAGCCGAGAAACTGCTGCCGGAAGAGAGGAAGGAGGCCGGTTTTCCCGCTGCCAGCTCGGAGCTGCAGGGCGCCGGCCAGCGTCCCCAGCTCTGCTTGAAGACCCCCCGTCGATTCCTGTCCGTCTCTGCAGGTACAAAGACTACCGGGAGCCCCCGTGGTCGGAGCACAAGTACGACATCTCCAAGGACTTCTGGGCCGTGCTGGCGGCCCGGCTGGCTTTCGTCATCGTCTTCCAGGTGTGACAGGCCCCATTTCCGGAAGGTTTGAGAAGCGGGCACCGAGGAAGCGCTCTGAGCCCAGAACGGGGTCAGAAGGCAGCAGCTGGCCCACGGTGGGGGCCTTGGGAGGCCTGGAGGCCTGGCGAGCCCGGGCCCTGTGCGGGGACAGGTCCCAGGAAGGCAGAGGGAGGGCCTGGGCCGGCGCCGACGGAGGGACGTGGACCTCTTCGGGGAAGGCGGGGTTAGTTCGATGTGAGTGGTGTTTACTGAAGGGGACGGGGAGGAAGGGAGCCCCGGCTCGAGTTCTCACCGTCTCTGTGTGGCAGGAGACGTCCGAGGACAGGACCGGTACAGGCAGGGGGAGGGCAGGGGGCTCCTGGCCAACTCCAGCCCCCAGCCCGGAGCCAGGGCGCCCAGCCTCACCTGGTCTCTGCGGAGGGGGTGGCCTAATAACTGAGGCAAAGGTGATCCCCGGTGCCCAGGACCCGAGACTGGGGACCAGACTGGTGCCTGTAGCAGCTACAGCCCCAGAGCTGGAGGAGCATCCTCAGCCATGTGGGCCCCGCCGAGCTTCCGTTCAGGCATGTGTCCCTCACATCGGAATCCCAGGGACTGGGGTCAAGCCCCAGCCCTGCCCTTTACAGAGTGTGGCTGTAGGTGGGACTTCGACCCCCCCTGACGCCCTGCTGCCTCACTTGTCAGCTTTCCATCACGCTCTGCAGTGGGAACAAGTGTTTGGGGCTGAGTTTACAAGAAGCAGAGCCTGAAACAAGGATTCAGTGCAAGTGGGTTATTAAAGGAAGCTCCCCAGGAGAGGGGAGGGAATGCAGCAGCAGAAAGGGAGTCTCAGCTGGAGACAGCCTTGCCTGATCCTGCGGGGAGCTCCAGAGCATGAACCCCAGCGCACACACGGGGTTGCCTCTCTTGAGGCAAGAGAGCACCTTTGGTCTGCCCGTGTCGGCTGGGCATTGGCTATAGTGTGTTCAGACCAAGAAGAGGAGACGGGGTTGGGGGAGGGGTGGATTTCCGTGGAAAGGAGGCAGCTGTGAGCATCAGCAGCTAACACTGGCCACAGCTGGGGTCTGGGAGCACCAGCCAGGAAAGGCGGTCCGGGGGGGTGGGCAGGCGGGTACCAGCGCTGTCCACCAGGTGACAAACAGCCAGATGTGCTAACAAGGGATCACTGGACAGAAGTTTTAAAAACAGATTTCAGTTCTTCTGTAAAAGCCAATCATTTGCTCTCCGTGCACTAGAAATTTCTCCAGGGAGGGAGCAGACTTTCAGGGTGGCCCTGGGAGGCCTTGCAGGCTGGAGAAAGGCCTGTGGCATCATCAGAGACTAAGTTCCACCCGGCTATTTCTATTCTAACTATTCTCCTTAAAGCCCGACACCTGTTAGATTCGGTGATGCGTGACCAATCCAATCATCCCTTAAGCTTCCCAGACCAGGGAGTCAGAATTATTCAGAAACTTGCTACTCACTGAGCTCCGATGCTTTACAGAAGTCAGCAGCCGTCTCTGGAGGGCCTGCTGGCTGGTTTCCTGCCTCACTTATACCTTGGGGGAAACCGAGGCCAAGGGAGCCCAAAGTGTGTGTCTGGGGTCGCAGGCTAGGAGTGACAGGATGGGTGCGGTGGAGGTGGGTGCGGTGGAGGTGGGTGCGGCGGAGGTGGGTGATGGGGAGGGTGGGGGGGATGGTGGGGTAGAAGGCAGGTGGGGGCGGAGGAGGGTGCAGGGGAGGTGGGGAGCATCTCCTGCTGTCCCCCTCCCCACCCCCACACACTGACTCTCCTTGCAGAACCTGGTCATGTTCATGAGCGACTTTGTGGACTGGGTCATCCCAGACATCCCCAAGGACATTAGCCAGCAGGTGCACAAGGAGAAGGTGCTGATGGTGGAGCTGTTCATGAGGGAGGAGCAGGGCAAGCAGCAGCTGCTGGACACGTGGATGGAGAAGGCCCGGAAGAAGGACGAGCCATGCAACAACCACGGCCCCAAAGCCTGCCTGGACAGCCCCGAGTACCCCGGGGGCGCCCTGTAGCCGCCCCTAGCCTCCCGGCCGACGGGCGCCCTCCCCCAGCCAGGCCCGGTGGCTCCGGTGTTCGTCGCAAACCTGGAAGACCACCTTCTGATAGGACAACATTCTTCTGTCTTTTTTTCTGTTTTTTCCTTCTTGTTTTTGCACAAAACCATATGCAGGGAATTTTTTTATCTTTAGTATTCAAGGTTAATCGAAATGATCGCTGGGGTTAGGGTGAGAACACACGGGAATGCGGGCACTTTGCAGAAACAATTCTTGGGAACCGCGGGTCTCCTTTGCAGTGGAAGGTGAACAGAGGCCTCCAGAAAGCGTCTTTTCAAATCCGCCTGATAGCCTTTAGAGGGATTCAAGATGGTGTTGCAAAGCATTGGATAAACGTCGTGCAGTCTTGGAGGGAGAGCGGAAAAACAAGGTTGACACCAGTTCCAGAAGGCTCACCTGCCACCAGGTCGGAAAAGTCAGCTGGCTTTTCATCTTCTGTTTTTTGTTAGTTCAGAAACCGGGAGACATTCCGGCCCGAAGGAGAGGTGCCCTGGCCCTGTCCCTGCAGACGGCCTGTGAGCTTGGAATTTACTCTTGGAGAATCTCGGGGCAGCAGGTGTCCCTCAGAACAGCGGGTGACCCGCACCGTCGGGGTCCCCACCGTCGGCTGCACACCTGCCCCTCCCCCATGAGCCGGCCTCAGAACTGTCCATCTTCTTGGTGGGGCAGAAAAAAAAAAAGCAGAAGAAGAAAGAAAACCAGGTGGACAGAAAATGAGCAGAGAGAGAGGACCCCAGAGACATTTCTGAAGATGGCTTCAGGTTCCATGAAATCTTAAGGCGTCGGGAGAACATTCACAGCTTTAGAATATTTATTGGGTTTTTAAAATAATCAGTTCTAGGGTGGATTTGCGGGTTTTTCTCTGTCGCTCCAAGGTGGAAGGAGTTTATTTTATTAGTTAACCAAATATCATCGCGAGGAATTTAAAACGCTGTTACTACCAAAGATTTTTATTAATAAAGCCTTCTATTTTGGTAATACTTCTCTATATTTTTACTTACAGGAATGTGACTGTGGGACAGTTACAATTTTAAAGCTTGTAAAAACGAGTCTCACAGATGGCAGGAGTGATCTAAATTTGCAGCCGTTATACTAACCAATTATCTGAAATCTCTCAAGCACCAAGCGAAACCTAAAAAACGTTTCATCGAAGGGAGAGAAGAGAAACGGGTTTGCCGTGAACGTGTGGTCGGCATGAGGGCATCCCCTTCAGCTGCCAACCCTGACCCTGACCGCCGTCTGTAGGCGTTTGCGACAGTCATGGGGTCTGACGCTTCTAGTTTCTCTTGTACAGTAAGTAGTTGGAAATGGGGGTTTTGTATATAAATATTGTATTAAAAATTAGGTGATGACCAAAAATCCTTTTATGGAAACCATTTTTTTTTTAAAGTGAATGTACACAGATTCACAGAGGACCGTGACTGAACCTTCCTGCAGCTAAATAAATTTGGGTACACACTGTGTATCCACTGTCTTCACTCGAACGCTGTCCATGTGACCTTCCCCGCAGGAAGCTCGAGGGGCTGTCCCCAGAGCGCCCTGGCTGAGCTGCAAATTCGGGAGGGATCATAGGCGTCCACATCCCTGCAGCGCCAGACACGTGAATGGTTTTGGATGCTCCTGGGACTTCATCATCTCTCTGTGACTGTGTGTATGCGTGCGCTTGTGTGTGTGTGTGCATGTGTGGACGCGCGGGCTGTGCGCACAGGCGTGCACCGGGTGTACCCATGTGTTTGCATGGGGACGTGTGTGTGCATGTGTGGACGCGCGGGCTGTGCGCACAGGCGTGCACCGGGTGTACCCATGTGTTTGCATGGGCACGTGTGTGTGCATGTGTGGACGCGCGGGCTGTGCACACAGGCGTGCACCGGGTGTACCCATGTGTTTGCATGGGCACGTGTGTGTGCATGTGCGTGCACGTACCTGCGTTTGTGTTGGGATGGGAGTCATGCTCGTACCTTCCCAGCACCCTCTTCCACGATCCTCAGATTCCCACCCCTGGTCCCGCCAACCCAACATGGTAGCACTTAGGATTCCGTGGACCTAAAATGTCCCCAACCCTCTTGGGGACGCACCTAGAGTTGCCAGTGTTTTTGTGTGGGCAAGTGGGGACGCTTTTTCAAACTATCACCTCTGATCACCACCATTTCACGAAAGAAAGATATTTTTCACACCCAAAGCTAGCAAAGCCGCGCAGCCCTGCTAGCTGGGGACATTCCTTAGAAGCCTTCCGGGGTGATGCCTCCTCGCCCATCTCCAGGACAAGGGAGAGCTTTGGCGCCCCCTAGTGCTCGCGTTCCTGCGCCCTCGAGAAAAGTCTCAGCAAAGCTCAGGCTCGCAATGTCCTGGTTACCCGCTGTCAAGAATGCCCTTCTAAAGTTTTGGAACTGCTTCCTTAGTCCAGACATGAAGGCAGCACCCGGGGGCAGCATCACAGGGACCTCCCCTCTCCATGGGTCCTCCCAGAAGCCTGTGAGGGCCCGTTTGAGAGATGAGCAGCCTCAGAGTGGGGAAGTGACTTGCCCGAGGTCACAGGGCTCCTTAGCACCTAAGCCAAGACTGGCACCCAAACCTTGTAGACATTCGTTCATACAACATTCAAGCAGACAGCAGTGGTCAAAACAGACCAGTCCCTCCTCCCCTCAGGCAAAGACTTCTTGCAGAGGGTGTGAGATGCTTAACCAGAAAATGGACCCCAGAACCAGATAGTGTCAGCGGAAGAAAGAGATCCTGATAAAACAGAACACGGTGTGACCAGGCTTGGTCAGGAAGACCCCTGGAGGCTTGAGCAACAAGGACCCAGGATGTCAAATCCTGGAGGAAGGCAGGACAGATCAGGCAGCAGAAGGGCGTGCAAAGGCCCTGAGGTAGCAGTGTGCAGACAGCTGACTGGAGGGGAGGGCGTGGAAGGAGGCAGGAGACAGGGGAGACGGGGTAGCCAGGACCAACTCACACAGGGCTCCCTGGCTACGTGGGGACTTCGAGCTTGGTGGCAGATGCCACAGCGGAGACTGGGGGGTTTTAACCAGCCCAGTGATGGGATCTGATTCACCTTTTGAGGTCATGGCAGCTGTCGGGGGCGGGGGTGGATTGCAGTGCGATGGAAGGGAAGTCAGAGAGGGGTGCTGCAGAAACTCAGGGGGCAATAGTAGGGCTTGGAGGATGGTGGTGGACGTGGGTGGAGGAAAACCAAAAGATGATGTCACAGAGACCTGGGATCTGGCCGTGGAAGGACCCCCGAGATCAGCTGGCCGGCCGGCACTGCTATGTCAGACTGGAAGAAAGAGGCCCAGAGAGGGTCAGGGCTCCACGGTGGTCACACAGCAAACCGGCGACACAGCCGTCTCTCGAACCCAGGCCCCACGGCCCCCAACGCTGAACCTTGTCTGCTATTGGTCCCGGAGTGGTGTCGTGCCCGTCCAAAGATGACAGTGATGGGCCATGGCCTGCAGGGGCCCGAGGTCTGGGGCTGGGGGGCACCTGTGCTGGCATCTGCTTTGGGGATTCTGCTTCCCTCCCCAGGTGGAGGCTGCCATGAGCTGCATCCAGCCCAAGACAATCTCCACTTGATAGGTTCAGTGTTGGCTAATTTTTTTTAGTTGACTTAAAATATAAAAACCAGGCAAATCAACATAAAAACCCAGATTTGAATGTTCTCTTGAAAGTTCGAGCCACCTGCCAACACAGGCAGCTTTTCAGCACGTCACGTCCTCACGTGACAAGCCTCAGGCCAGGTTCCAGTCCTGGGATCCAGGACCAGCCGAGAGATTCCCTGGAACAGAGCCTAGCCAGGGGGTGTGCCTGGGATAGGGCTGTCCCCACGCCAAGGCCAGATTCAGAGCCCCTAGTCCAGGGTGCCCACCTCCCCAGCCCCCACACACATTCACATACAGGTTCCCAGGAGGCATCTGTGTGCCCCTTAAAATAACCCCCTACCTGTGGTGTGCGTCCCCATACTCAGGCAACACTCATTTTCCTGTTCATGTTTTGTAAGAGCCACAGCAAAGTAAAAAAGGGCTAACTCTTGCCAGGAAACAGATCAATAAGAAGCACTGGTATAGTGCCAAGCACAGAGGAGGCAGCAGAAAGTGCTGAATGAATGAATAAATGAGGGAGGGAGAGATGGATGGATGGAAGGATGGATGGATGGATGGATGGAAGGATGCATGGATGGGTGGTTGGATGAGTGGATGGATGGATGAGTGTTTGGATGGATGGATGGATATGGGTGGACGGATTGATGGATGATGGATGGATGGATGGGTGGGTGGATGAAAGGAGGGGTGGATGGATAGATGGAATGATGGACATTTGGGTGCATGGATGGAAGGACAGATGGGGATGGCAAATAGACTGACAACTGGGTCTTTCTGCCTCTGAGCTGAGGGGATCTCGGAGTCAAGTTGGCAGGGGTGTTGGCGGAGGAGGTAAGGGCTATGTGGAAGGCTCTGATGCCTCTGGACCACAGGCATGTCCATGGCAGGCAGCTCACCCACTGCTCCCTCACACAGCTCTTGGCAGAGGAGTGGGCGGTGCCTGAAACACTGACCTGGACCAGCCCAGGCATTTTAACCGCGTTTCCTCAGATGGGCTGGTGTCTGCTGCCCCCGCCAGGAGCCTGCCAGGGTTGCATCCCTGGAGAAAAGGCAAACCTTGTAGATGCTGAGGTTTCTGCCAAGTCATTGATTTGCTGTGTTCCGTTCTCATCCCCCCTTCTCTTCGCCCCTTACCCCTGCCCCCTCCCAGCTTTCCCTGCCCCCCCCACATTTTCCTGCAGTATGACATCCAGAAAACTGTACATCTTATGCGTGCAATAAACTTCCACACACACCTGTAGCCAGGACTCAGAAAGTCACGCCCCCTCAGCAGCCTCTGGTCACCCCTCCTCGCCGGGTGGTGACCGGTCCTGTCTCGCAGTCCTGGCTTCCAGCCACAGTCGTGAGAGCCTGGTTCTACTTGCCGGTGGCTGCTGCCCTCTGCTGGCTGCCTGTGGGAGCTGCACCGGGGAAGGAAAAGCCGTAGCCCGCGGGGTCTGTGCTAATGTTCTGGT